TTTCAGGCTGGCCCTCGTCGACACTTATTATTCCTATTTATTTCAATAGATATGATTTAAAATATATAGTAATAAAATTACTGTAATGTACTCCAGATCGGAGTTCTATAAATTGCTCTTTCTTTTTGGCAATCATAATATTATTATAACGTACCTATAATATTGCACTTACATTACCCTCGAAGCTGTGCATGCCTACAAATTTGACTCAATTGATCGTTCAGACAATCTTCTACACGCTGAAATGTAGTGAGTGTATGTATGCTTGTCACGCTACGGACGTGACGTGTCGGAGCTAGATCATGGCCCCTGGTAGGGGACGCTTGGAACCTATCATATTTATGTATTTCGAAATTTTTAAACTATAAGCGATGTCAGCTTTCTATGTAATGTGTGCGGATGAGTGAACGAGTTAAATTATTTATATTGAATTGTATTAGATGTATATATAGAGTTTATTTTGTAATAATGCTATGGAGACTGGTGGGAACGCCGCAACTGCAACTCCAAATGTCGAGCACCGGTCGCGCGGTCCACGCTGTACCTGCCAGGCCGTTACAGTACGCACCCGTATACATACGATGCCAATCATTGTGTTCGGGAAATGGAAATAGAGGAATTCTGAAGCTATTGAAAAACTTTTGAATTAGGTTATTAAATGGAATTTGATGATAGAAGTTGATCAATGACTTCGTGACATTAGGTGTTCGTTACCCATTTGTTACCAGATTGCATTACATTGGACATTAGCTAGGAGTTGTCCCGTACCTACAACAGCAACCTAACCTAATCAGAAAATGTATTTACAAATAAAAAAACACTAAAGCTCACGATAACAGGTTTGCCATGAGTATAAGAGATATGTCCTGTTTATTGTATAGTTACAGTTGCGGTGTCTCCTTGCAGGCTGTTGTAACCCGGAGAGTATTCTCCACGCCATAACTGCAGCGAGTGCCAGTACGTACTGCACGTACAGTGCTAGTTACGGGGTGAAGTATACCTCTGCGGTGATGAGGATCAATGTTTCGCTTCTTGTACAGCCAGCGTATCGCACGCCGCGTGAGTCACGACTCACGACATCATTTCCTACAAATACATATAAATGTATAAATATGTGTGAGAGTCATTTACTTATCAGCGACAAACGTAAAGACGACATGCTTTTAAAATAATAAACTTGCATTTCCGATTAATTTTGTTATTATTTTCGACAAACGCCTACCTCTATCCAATAATTATGAGAACCACGGTTCTCAGTGGCAGTGATCGTGAACGAAACCATATCACGCGTGCTGATCCGGACAAATGTGGCAAACGTGACAGGCAGTTCTAGTTTACTATCTTACATGCTATACATTAAACGACGACATTCAGTTACAAAATATGGCATGTGCAAAGAGTATAATAAGTATATTAACATTCCCCATCTGTTGTTTAGTGACAGTCCGTCTCAACCAATGGCGAAGCGTGTCTTGATTGGGCCCAAAGCACAGATATCTATCTATATCTGTGGAACAAAGAGTGTAATAACTTATTATTAGAAGTGTTAACCCCGGCCCCGGGGAGCAAACAATTTTTGTAGTAAAGTTTGGGAGAGCCATGTTTCGGCACGAATGGGCTGGCTTGATCGGAGTGATACCACGGCCTCACAGAAAACCGACGTGAAACAACGTTTTCGTTGTTTCGTCGTGTGAATAAGGTTATCAGAGGCCCACTACCCATCCCCCTTCCCCCTCCATGAATCCCCGACATTCCTCAAATGGCCGGTAACGCACTTATAACCCCTCTAGGTGTCAGGTGTCACCGAATGCTTACCATCTGATGACCATAAAAAAAGTTTCTTCACAGTTGTTTAATTTACAGTACCTACATAAATAATATAGTTAATCTATATAACAATAACGACGAATGTTTGAGGAACTAACAACTTGCTAACAACATTCAAACTATGGCAACACTGACTGAAAGTACGTTGAATGCATAGATTTATTATCATATCAGTGGTTGAATGTCATCAGCTCAAAGGAACATCTGATAATGAGTGTATTTTTCAAATAGTATTTCGTTAAAATGTTTATATTTTTATCTGCCAGAAACATCGAGATATAAGTACTGTACGTTAGTACTTATATCTTAATGGCGAAATGAAAAACCTGCAAAATGAATGATGTATAAAATTAGGATTGTTTCCGTTGCATTACATTTATTTATATATTACTTTTTGATTTTATCTGGTTGGTATTTACCCTGTGGCCCCCTAATTGATTTTCAATAATAAATAGACAAACTGTAAACGTTTTTCTCATAAAATGCTCAGGAAAAAAAATATTGCAAAAAATTATTATTGGCCACTATTTAACTAAGATGAATTTTGAAAGAGTAACTAGGTCCATCAAAATCTACAAAATTACCAATTTTCAGCAGTCCCGGAAACTTATACGGTAACCAAGGGGGTTACCTGGAAAGTTTTATTTTTGCTCAAATTATCGAATTAAGATGACCTTGTTCTATCTTTAATCTTTCTTAGTTCTGCTAAACGCATGCTTTACGCCGTTACACGGGAATAATTATAACATAACATCACAACTTTTATTTTCGATTATATTATATATTTATATTATGAGTCCCACGTAATTGGGGGTGAGCCTATTGCCATATACCGGGCACAATTCCAGATTCCGTACTAATACTGAGATTTTTTTTTAAAACCCAGTAATACTTTGCCCGACCCGGGAATCGAACCTGAGACCCCTTGCTCGGCAGTCGGACTTGCGACCACTCGGCCAACGAGGGAGGGAATAATTATTATTTTGACTTTTGTGGTTTCTAAAATAAATAAAAAAATAGGAACTTTTTACTAAGTTTAACTGAAACTTCCGTGAAACCACAGACTTAAATTGTGCGTATGTATATGCATGAAACGGAGCCCCTGTATAATTGAAAGCGCCATAGCGCTAGCTCGCCACTGGTCTCAACTGCAAAAGTTCGATATCCTTGTACGGTCAAAAGTAATATATATTTTTATTGTCTTTTCGATTTTATTAAACAATCATGACATGTATCGTGATTGCTTATTTTTGTATTAATTAATCACATAGGTATTTGTCTATTATAGTCATAATTAATTATAAAACATTAGATTTGTATGAATTAAGTCAGGGACAGTCAAGGTATATCGTGTTGCGTCCTGGTGTGGCGCTGTGCTCAGGACCTAATACGATGCGTGTACTTGTATTGTATGCAACGTACGTACCTTCACGTTGATGAGAACATATCCGATATTGCTTCCAAGCTTGAATATAGTTTATAATTTGTGTCATTTTATTAGTAACGAAATTGCACAATAAAATTATAACTTAGTCGAATTGTGGATTTAATTACATTGACAACACTTTTTCACAGATTATATGCGACAAACTATTTATCACTCTGTGAAACCCCAAGTGAAACGAAACCGCAAAAGTCGCGCGTGCTAGTAAGTCGCATTTATGGAATCAATTTTGATTGTACTAAATTTCGGATGACTTGTGATATAAATAGTCAGTGAAAATGATACTTCTAATTCTATAAATCAAAATCGAGAGCTCTGTAAATTTTTCCCCTGTTGTGTTTTTTTGTGCTAAGTGTCAGTATTTAGTGAGTATTATGAACTTTGAGGACTATGAAACCCTTCCGACCCAAAACTCCGTCACACACATGACTGCTGGAGCAATAGCAGGAGTGATGGAGCATTGCATAATGTACCCACTCGACTCCGTAAAGGTAAGCACTGCCAGCAGACACCGGCGCGGTCAGGACCTGTTCCTGCTTGCGCTACTACTTGCTTGGAAACTAACCTAATCAGTGTGACAGTTGTATCGGCTGGCCTGTTACGCCACCAATTTGCCTTCTCCGATTATGTAAAAACGTATGTCAATATTATGTCTTTACCAATTTGTTGCAACAGTTTCTAATCTGTAAACTGGTCTTATAATCGTAACACGTTTGATATTTATTGTGATCGTCATGTTTTGCTGAAATTAACTAACTGTTCACATCAAGTCACATATTTATGCGCTGAAACTGGTTATTTTAATGTTATATTTGATTTACTATCTGGCCAGCAAGTGCCAGTAATCTATATGATCACTACAGTCACTTGATTAAGAGTCTCAGTAGTTTGTCAAAGTTGTTGTATTGGAACAAGTGTATAGAGTGACTGGTGTGCCACTACACAGCACACAGAGTGAGTGCACAGACACCAGACTGCAGAAAGTGAGACATTACACAGCAAGCAACACATGACCTTGACTGCTAGTTGTATTGATGCACCTTCTGTCACTGCTGTCACTCTGTGTGTACTAGCAAATATACTTATTTAATACCAATTTCCTTGTAATTACAATATTCTTTGTGACATGCTTAGCTTTCCATTATAGGCCACAGTCTGAACTCATGCTCTGATAACACGGTACAGACTTAACTACAATGTACATAAACTGAGCAAACAGCAAGTATTTAATGATTATTTGTGTGTCACATATTGTAGTTTAACTACTGATAAAATACAGACTGTGCAGTCATATAAAACATGCACATTGACAAAACAGAAACCTAAACTAGATTGTTACAATATTATCAATGTGCATGTAGTGTCACACACACACATATACATACTAAATGTATGTGTATTTGTGCGCTGTATGGCTCAGTTCATTTGACTGCTATCTCATGGGGCATTCATTAAATGTTATGCTTTGTTTAGTGTAATGCTACAGGAATAATAACCAATATTTCCATTAATATATTTATTAAACTGATCATTGTATCTATATTTACTATATAAACAGGTTACAAAGTGACTTTTGAAGTAAAGTAGGTACTCCTAATTTTTAATGTTGTAACTAATAGTATTGTGGCTGAATTTGTCTTGTGGAAATGAAATAAACATTTTGTAATATTACAACAAGATGACAAGTTACAATTTTAATATACATACCATTTTTATTTAACATAATTACTTTATTTAAGAAAATGATAAAACTTGCAAGTAATGATGACAGTCAGTGTTGAGCCACTCAGGCAGTGTGTGCAGTGAGTCAGAGCGTGGCGTGTACACAAGTGTGGCCGCAGTACCGCGCTCCACACCACCTGCCCACATACAAACTTGCTTTACTTTAGTCAACTTACATTTTAAAACACTTGTAAATAAAACGGTCTTTGATGTAGTGTGTAGTCTACATTACCTTGGTGCAGGTTATTCTATTAGCTGGCAACGTAAACAGAACATTACTCTCACATATATTGCGTTTTACTTCATGCAAACCTGTATAATTATGCATATATCACTGTTATACCCATAGGACAAACCATTATGAAACAAAAATCAGTATTATATTATATAATTAATTATAAAGAATACATAAATACTTAGGTACTGTTATACATGCTCTAAAACATGTTAAAAGGTGTTCTATTGAGCATGCTCAAAATGTTAAATAATTGAACACCTGTCAATTTGCAAACATGCCTGTAATGAGCATGCTAATGGGGCCACCATATCTTTGCTCACCCGGTAGTGCTAGTGTATACTTCTCGTTCTCCATTCAATATGGAATTAATTACAACTAGTGTCCCACCAATGGACGTTTAATATTTGACAGTTGCTGTGATTGGACAAAAACCCCCTTCCTAAATGTGTGCCATTCAGTGAGCAGAAATACAGTACCTCCAATTTTAAGCAACATTCTGACACATGCTCACATGCTATAAGTGATAAATGCTCAATTGAAGCATGCTTTCATGCTTGAAATTTGCATATGTGTTACCTTTAAACTGTCAAACCCCGAGCGGTCACCGGTGACTGCAACCTATTGTTCTTTAATTGTGTCTATAATGACGGTACTCAACGAGTTAAGACAGCAACAAATAATATTGGTTGAGCAAGATATGCACCAAGTGAATATGTACATTATATAAATAGGTAATACAAGTATGTGCCATGTTTTTCCTTAAAGTGTCCACATAAGTAGTTGCAGTCCAATGTCCACCGTTGTTGTGTAATTAACGTTATTATGCCAGTAGTTCATAATTGATTAATAGAAAAGGCACACGTGTTGTGGCTTGTATATTGTAATGTATAAGTTTGTACGAGTAGAGTGTCGGCATCTCTCACGCAGTGGTAGTGGTGGCTATATGAGGAAGTAGTCCGCCTTGTTAGCGTTCTGCCAGCACTGCTGCGTGCGGAAGGCGGTGTCGCAGTGGTCGGCGCCGCGCTGGGTGCCGCAGGCTCGCAGGGCGGGCGCGTTGTGTTCCGCCAGCGACGGCGGCAGCAGCGCCAGTACAGCCTCGATGTCCACCTCGCCGTCAGCCATCATACCGGCCGTCTCCATAGTGCACTTGATGTAGCACTTGAGCTTGTCGTCCGGCATCAGCTCGGCGCCGGCGTTGACCTTCTCTACCAGCGCTACGTCCACGCCGGTCTCGCCAGCGCAGTTGTCGCGCACCATGCGCGCCAGCTCCGCCATGTCCTCGTCCATCTCTACGGCCGCGGCCGCCAGCGTGGCCAGCGTGGCCAGCGTCAACACTAGCGCCTGCATCCACATCGCGACTGCACGAGATATAGCCCTCGCTTCTGCCGGCCTGTACCTTATATAACTCACTGCTCAATGTCAGCCTGCTCCTGATCACATGGGCCGTGTCATCTCTAAATTACAAGCTCCTCCTTAATAACCCCTGATTTAAAAAAATGTTGTTTGTTTGCAAAGTAGGTACCTACTGCTGGAGAGGAAGCTGTAATTTTTCATTGCCAATGTACAATCATCGGAAAAAATTATATGTTTGCTAAAGAGAGAATTACATAGTAGTAACAGACATAAATTGTCAGTTGCTTGTGAAACTAAGAATATTTAGGCGGTCAGTACTCGAGAGTAGCAAGGGGCTGTAATTAACTGGAAGGTGATTGTTGCAGACTCGGATGCAGTCTTTACGGAATGCCAACAACAGCTCCATCTCCGAGACCTTCAGGCACATGGTGAAGAAGGAGGGTCTACTAAGGTAACTATGCATGCCGGCCGGCTGCCGTTTCTACATGTAGCGGGCTTGTTCAAGGTCGCATCTCAAAAGTCCCGATTCGGGCAAACTTTATCCAACATAGATAAAAATGCGCGGACGCAGCGACGTCAGCCTACTGATTACGGAATCGGCACGCTCTGCTCATGAGGAGCAGTCCCGTTGTAACTAGTAGAGGTTTTCTCAGTTATTTACCTGAGCTTTGCCGAAAAGTTCATGGAATGTTTATTTTTTTTGCGGATACGATATCGCAGGTAAAAGCTATTTACAAACTATTTAAGATTTAACCCCGGTCATACCAGAACGAAACCGCTGCGGTTTTTAATCATGTTAGGCCCGTACGCACTATGGAACATTACGCGATTAAAAATTGTTGCGATTCCGCTCTAGTGAGGCCAGGGCCTTCTTAAAAGGTAAGTACTTATTACGTAAATCAAAACAACGTAAATCGTAATCTCAAAACAAAGACTACTGATCGTTCGTTTGTTTGTGACAGGAAAATATCAAGTATCTACTTCTACCTGTATAGACACTTGAGTGCAAAATTGCTAATTCAGTACCTATAGGTACTATGTACGTATATATCTTCTCTTAGTAATGGGGAGTCCTGTCTATAGTAGTTCTGTGCACATAACTACAGGTGCGAGTCGGTGCCATTAGGTATGACACTCGGAGAATGTACCTACTCATATTCACTAACTGCGTAACCTCCCTAAACCACTGCAACTCCTGTGAGCCAGTATCTACAGTAGATACAACCATGAAAACACCGGAACACTGAAGTCCAGCGTGTCCCAGGGACATGAATAACTAACATAGAAAGAGCAGAAGACAAAAACGATAATTTCCACTTCCCTCGGTGAATTACTGCAGGAGAGAGAATGGATTAAGCTTAAAGACACAAAAAAGAGATTGTACAACTGGGTGAAGCCCAGTCGCCAAGCACCACGGAAAATTGACCAAAAACTAAGTGAATCCTATGTGTGAGCGGTTATACTTGCTTCCAATAATAGGTATGGAAAAAGCGCCTAAACGCACGGACATTTGTTCTAGATTCCACAAGGTCCGTATAATAAGCTACACCTGACGAAACAATTAAATTATTTAATAGTGTTACATTTAAATTGCCAGAGATCACATTCCCAGAGTATGTGATGGGCGGACTGCTCGTATTGCAACTACGCTGTCGAATATTGGCCCCATGGTGAATCAACAACTTTAAATGAGAACAATTTGCTTTTAACCTTTCGTTTGTCTAAGACGGAAGGATCCACGCGAGACACATTATATTTTCTATTGTGTCTCATATCGGTGCATTCAAAAAGTTAAAGTTGCCGTGGCTAGTAAGAAATTGGGCAACACAGTGATCCACCTCCAACCATGTCCTCTTCAGCCGTTCATGCACGGATCTTGTCTAGTTGGAAGAAATGAATATCCGCCGCCGCCTGCAAATAGAATGATGTTTTATTAAAGGACAAAACCACAAGGCGGTAAATCGGTTCAAATGGCCCGCTGCCGCTGGCGGCTTGTATTGAGTCAGTCGCGACTCACGTCCTCTGTCCACTCCACGCGACAACGTGATTGGAAATGTAACCCATTACAAGTATTTAGTGGCGACGCGGTCACGAGCTCGACACGTGTACACGCGCGGCGTACCTTCACACTCGTGTGTGCACTCCTCTCGGTCTCGACTCGGGTGAGCCTACATACAACAACTAGTCGCCACTCGGCAGCCATACTCCACTACTCTCTTTCCTAAACAATAAACAAAACTTTGTTACTACCTAGCTATAAATATTTGTCTACGTTTTTCTAAAATAAGCTTATGTTACTCCTTAGTACATCAGCTGCCTGCTAATAAAAGTTCCGTCAAAATCGGTCCAGCCATTTCAGAGTTTACTCAATACAAACAGACAGACAGACAAAAATGATAAAACATGTTATTTTGGTATATGTATCGTATGTGTGTACTCATGAATGTAGTAGAAAGCGGTTATTTCAATTTTACAAACAGACACTCGCATTTTATTTATAGATGTAAAATATACAGTGTTCCTGAAGTCCACGATGAAATGGCACCAGGCATACATTTCAAAATATAATAAAAATAGGTTTTATACATAGCTCAGTCATTTAATTTTGATAGTTTGGTCTCAAAAATTTTCAGGGAGTTAAATGACATTATTTTCCAAACTAAAGCAGTTTAATCAAAATTTATAATTCTATGATACTAAAACACTATTCAGGATATCGTAAGCATGTCACGGACCTGCGGACAGCGAACACGGGTGACGCGCCGCCCGACTAAAGCCAGGCCCGAGCGTACGGTGCGTCGTGTTCCGCGCGTGCCTCAAGGAGCCATCAGACCACCACAAACGGGGCTCAACAGGGTTGATGCCGATACGGAGCCGCGGAAGACTTAACGGGTTGCCGGGACTTCGGTTAGAAGTGCAGGAGTAGGAACGGGGTGGTTTTTACTCAATAAGAGTCTGACACTCCCTCTAGCCTCACCCGGGCGGGAGAAGTCATTGGATTAATTACCCCCTAAAAAAAATAGATAACGTAGAAATAGACAAGTCTGGCACAGGTGTACTTTTTCGTGGGTAATACATAAGTCATTGTAATTTGAAAACAATATGACTTGGAATTTTTTCTATATTTTTCTGATGACTATTGGTACCTTGCCGATCACCTGGTGCCATTTGATCGTCGACTTCAGGGGCACCCTGTATATTTGATGGGCCGGCGCGGCGTATGATTTGCATTTCGCCTGGTGGCAAGCGATGATGCGGTCTACGATGGAGCACGTCGTCCCATAAGCAACCTATTCACTCGGCCCTTGAAGACACCCAGGTCCTCCTCTTCAGGAAATAGAGACTCTGGCAAAGAATTCCACTCCTTAGCAGTACGCACAAGAAAGCTTGATGCGAAGTGCTTCGTGCTTGTGGGAAATCTACGATGAATCGGTGACGCTTCGCTGATTGTCTTGTGGTACGATGATGGAAAGGACTAGAGGGAATGAAGTTGTGCAATTCCACCGCACACTCACCGAAATATATCTGGTAGGAAACCGGCTTGCAACCTTACGCCTATGTTCGAGGCTTTGAAGCCGGTCCTCCACAAGCGCATCATCGTTAATGAGCCTCTTGGCACGCCTATCAATGCGCTCTAACGTGTCCAACTGATATTTAGCCGAGCCGTCCCAAAGATGAGAGCAGTACTCCATACAGGACCGAACCTGTGTTTGGTATAGGTTCAGTAATTGTTTCGGCGTGAAGTACCGTCTCCCCCTCCTTAGGATACCCAACTTTCTACCAACCAGTTGCGCTTTCGACTCTATACATATAGAAGTCAAAGTTGAGTGTGCGCGTCAGAGTTACGCCAAGAAGCTCAAGATGATCAGTTATCGGAACGGATACATTTCGGAAAGTAGGAGTCAGCGGAAATTTACTCCGTTTGGCGGAGAATAGACACGCCTGGGTTTTGCTATCCCTGAACTTGACCATGTTGGCACACCCCAGTCGGAGAACGCCTTCAAGGATGAGTTCAAACGCTCGACCTTAGATTATCTTAGAGACCGGATCTGTGTTCTGCTAGTCTGCGGATCGGACACATAACTTTCAACAACTGTGCTGTCATCTGTATACCCAAAGATACCGGGCTTAAGCAAGTCGTTTATGTGCAGTATAAAGAGCGAAGCAGGTCGTTTATTTACAGACCTTTGAGGGACGCCGGGCGTTAATATCGAATTGGTCAGACTGACAGCCATCGATGACTATGTTTTTATAATAACTGTCGTGAGACATACTAAATTAACTAAAATCGCAGGTTACTCACATGAATATACTGAGAAAAGCTCTACGAGTTTCACAGAGGGTAGTCTCTGTGGTTCGAAACTAGTAGAGCTTTTCTCAGTATATTCATCGATGACTAGTCGTATTGACCGATCCCTCAGGAAGTTTGCTATTTATCTGCACAGATCAGCAGGAATCCCCAAGGGAAAAGAAAGCGTGGCCGTCCTCGACAAACCTGGCGTCGCACCGTACTGGCAGAAGCGACGAGTATCGGTATGACGTAGAGTGAGGTGAAGCGTGAAGCTAAGACAGATCACGAATCGCGATGGAGAACTTCAGTGGACGCCCTCTGCCCCATCTAGGGGACACAGGATATTAAGTCAAAGTGGTCAGATAGGTATCGGTAGCAATACGGGATTACGAGGTGGTCGGCAGTAGGCTCGACGCCTGCACTCTGCAGTCACGCGGCGCGCGTCGCTATCGGCGCGTTATCTGTTATCAGCGTACGTGAGGCTGCGCCGCGCCGCCTGCTGCTTGCTGCCCTCAGCCTTGCTATTGTATCTGGCAGTGTCATGCCACCAACGTAATGGATGCGCGATAGCCATCTCTACGCTGCGCCTCGCCCTATTGATAAAACATTTGCCAGTAGTCTATCTGATAGCAATCTATTGACTACTACAACAAGACGTGAAATTAACAAATTCTTTCATCTAAACCTTTCTTAGAAATCACTACTGTTGCTGAAAGCTTTACTAAAATCTGTCTAGTATCTTCTTGA